ACAGTCCAGAACAGTAAGTAAATAAATTACAGCATAGGCATTAAAAAGAGACTCTGCCATGGGAATTTAGAGCTAAATCTCATGTTTAACCTAGACTGTTAATACAGACAGACTCTGTAAAAAAAAAATAAATTAAAACCTATTATAAAAACACAACACTTGAAAATCAGAAATTTGCTACTAATTTTTTGCCAAACAGACTTAACCTGTTGCTTCCTATTTCAAGGATAATACTAACACAGAGATGAATGAAACTTTTTGAAAGATCTGGTCATGGAATAGAAATAAAAGTAACACCCCCTTTCCCATCTTCCCCACAGTAAATCCCAAACATTTCCTGTTAGGAAAGCATAATCTTCAACTGAACTGTGAACATTTTTGAATTATTTATGAAGATCTTGGTAGTTTAGTTTGCATTACACTACAGATGATTTTCCATATGAGATTTAAGAACCAGTTCAATAATAACAGGAAAGGAAATCTATACGCAACAAATAGGGAAATCCATTCACTAACTCTACATCACAGTCCTCTTCGATTCAACTCTTAATGTAACTGAGTTTTACTTGCAATGTCCATAATTGCTATAATTCAAAGGTGGGCAGTCACCAGAGGAGAAATAGGAGATTTCAATCCACTCATTGCCATTAGCATGGATCATTTAAAAAAGCCACCTTGTTGAGTGCTAAATTTTGGATTGTCATTGTTCTAGATCTGAAGCACGTGTTTTTCCTGACTGGCTTCATTATAATATTATCCATCTTTACTCAGCAGAGGTTGCTGTGTTTTATAACTTGGTCTAAACTCAGCAAAAACCCCCATGCTGCCCTTCCTCCCTCCTCCCCATCCCTGTCATACACAGCTGCTGTGCTGGGGCAGGACAGGCTGATGCAGGGGTTCCCTATGGCTTCTCTTGCTGGGATTCTTCAAGCCTTCATCTTGTTCCTGTTGTTTCAAGCCTGTTAATTTTCCTGTGGAATAATTGCAGCTGCTCCTGCATGAACAAAACCCAAACCTGGTCCCCGTGTGCCCACAGCAGAGCTCCCAGTTGCCCAGCAGCCCCCACTGCAGCACAGGATCTGCAGAACTGCACAGAAACATCACAGAAGCCCAGAAAGAGCAGAAAATAAAGCACCCTCCATCTTTACTCTGCTGTAAGTGGATGTTTTATCATTTAAACCCATTAGCAGCAGTAATTCCCCCATGTTGGTATGCAGTGCTCCCCAAGGCCTGCAGCACTGGTTTTCCCTGACCTGGAGGCGCAGAGCCCCGGGGTGGTGCAGGGGTGTCCCAGAGGTGCAGAGCTCACAGGCTGCAGGGGCAGAGCTCCCTGGGCAGGGCTGCCAGAGCCCTCCCCCTGCCCAGTGACACCAGCCAGACACGCTTGCTGCGCATTAATATTCTCACAACAACCCCCCTCCAATCAGTCTTTGCTAAAAGCATTAATTAAGACTTTAACATTTCTGATCCCATCAATTTTCTGTTCTCTTCTTATTAAATAGATGTACTAGGGGCGTTTGAATAATAACTGCCCAAAGTTTGGGGATAATGAATAAATGAACTTTGCCAGCCTCTGGCTAAGCATGAAATTTGCTGTGGAGTAACAAATGCAACGGAGGCAGCTCATACATTAACCAACCTAGTTTTGACACACAAGTTTGGGAGCACATTATTTACTTACTTACTAATTCTAAGTGAGACTAGGCTCCAAAATGTTTTATGCAGGGAATGACAAATGACGTGTTCAGACAGTCTTTGCACTCTCCATCACAGCGTGAAGCTGCTCATTCACCCATCTTCCCTTCAGTGGGTCTGGCCCTCTTGCCACGCACAGCGAGGCTTTCAGCACTGCAGGCTCTTTTCTTCAGGAACTTTGCCAGAAAAGGAGCACACAACAAACTGGGTAATTTTGTTTTTTTACTGGCTAGGTCTTGGCACTTTGAAGGTCACCTGTGTGCTATCAAACTACTTTTGTTCCCTGTATTTTTACATGTGCACGGCTGCAGCAGCAGCTCTGTTACACTGCTGTAAATCCATTCGTTTTTGTGGAAATCCATTAACTCGCAGTGAATTTATGGCAGTATAACTGTGAGCGAGCTGCAGCTGATGGCGCAGACTGGAAATATTACAAGGAAAAGTGCAAAGTTCTATTGATTTTCTCTCAGGAAAAATGTGTGTTTCCTTATGATTATATTACAGATGACTCAGCTCGGGCCCCCAACAGCCATCCCTCATGCTTGCCTGCTTGCTGGCTGTGTGAGGAGCCTGTGCTGTCCCCAGGCAGGGGCCCGGGGCTGCCCACAGTGCTGAGGGAGCCTGTGCCCGGCTGGTGTGGCACTGCAGGAGCCACACCAGCCTCCCACGGCTCTGCAGCACAGGCACTTACTCCTAATCGACTCTGACAGCAGACACCACGAGGAATGCTGAGATTTATGAAAGAGCAAGATTTGCCACTAGCCTCTGTCCATTAAGGCTACGGCAAAACCTCACTTTGCCCTTTGTAAATACAATCAGCAGAAGTGAGGCAGTTGCCCTTTTCAGAAGAAAGAGCACTCTCAAAGGACAGATGTTTTAGCAAAAGTTCTCAACACACTCACAAGCAATAAGGCTCCAAATTCTTTACAATTTCTCTTCAAAATGTTTCTCGTTCCTTTAAGTGCTTTTTAGAGACTAAATACTGTACTGAAAGCTGCAGTCTCCTCTTTAGCCACTTATTTTCCCTGCACTGCAGGAATATGGGGCCAATTATAGGCTGTGTATTTTGCAAAAAAAAACCCTGTCCTGAATGTGGAAACCATGGCCCCAAAACCCGAAGGACTCATTTTGCACATTTTTAAAGTCAATCAGTCCCTTCACATAGTGAAGGTGAAGGTGAAGGTAAAGGTAAAGCAAGGCAAGCTCACTTGTTGAAGTTATTCTGTGTGCTGGGAATCAGTTCTCTCTGCTGGTGCACAGGTCTTCACTGGAAAGAAAAGCTGCCTTTTGCTCTTGCTAGAAGAGATTTTTCATCGAATCCTCAGGTTATTGTTTATTATTTCTGAGGTTTTTTGGTGAATTGGAATATAAGAATTGTTCCTACCGGGCATGCTTAATTCTGATCTCAGAAAGGATAAAAAAGTTACTTTTAGTTGCAGATTTAATATTTTTTCACCTTTAATGCGATTAAAATCTAAAACACCTTGGTAATTCTACTCCTGTCATTACACACAAAACTTGCTGCCACATCCCTTTGCAGGTAACAGGCCACAAAAGAAAGAGAAGGACAAACTCAAGATGATTGATATATTTCCTCCAAACCACACAGTCTGTAATTTAAGAGACAATGTACTCTGCAAGTGATGGAATAAAAATATCAGAGCAAAGCAGATACCTGTTTACTTGGAGACCAGTGGGGTAGGGCTGAAGTTGAAAAAGAGGCATAGAAGCACTCTTAGACAGACATGCTTCACTGCTTCAAGCCTCAGCTATTTCTTTAGATCAATTTAGGCAGATTTTCTTCTTCCTCTTGTGGAAAAAAAATAGTTTTCTCCCTTAGAAGGAAGTTGAGGCCCTGAGAAATATTCTGTGCCCTTCAGAAAGCAGCAGCAGCAATGAAGAGCTGGCCAGATCCCCCCGTCCAAACACAGGCAGGTTTCACGTGCGTGACCAGCCCTTGGTGGAGGGGTTGGAACTCTCCTGACACTGCAGGCTCCATGCACACCTCTGCTGCAGTAACTGTCCTTGGGCCAATTCCCACACAGGAATGCTGGTATTTCTTTAGACATGGTCCAACATGCTAATCTTTTTCCCACCTACCTTTTCCTTCCAGGTTTGGAAGCACTCCTGTGGAAGCCAAGGACTGTGTTCTTCAGTGTCTCATGCTCTGATGCACCTCCACGCTGGCAACAACCACCTCCTCCTTGTTCTTCCAAAGAGCAGCTCAGCTTTTTGTGGGAGGATTATGGATTGCTCCCCAATCCTACAGCTGGCACTAGTGGGATGAACATTACTGATTTTATTCCCTTTGGATCCCCATGGTGAGTCTGCCCCAGTGCAAGAGGCTTTTACTACCACAGTGTAGTACACCTATCAAACACAGATCTGCTTGGTCTCCAGCCCAGGAGTGCAAGTGGCACAAATCCCTGGCTGTCACTGGCAGCCCTAGGAAAAAGAAATCCTGAGCACCTGGGAAAATGTCAATCCCTTCCTGCCCTCCTTCTAGGACAGGACTCAGGTTTGAGGTGAGGCAGTGGCGTGTCCTGTGTTTGCTCTGCAGCTCCTGCAGGCACAGTCCTGCTGCCACTGGAGCTGGCACTCTGCCTTTGCCACAAGGAAACTCCTCTCTAAAATGCCACACAAGTGACAGGATGAGAGTCATAGTCAGGCATAGGAAATTTCAAGGCAGTTCACTAAATTCAGCTAATGAAGGTCATGTTTCTTTGCCAAGATATCTTATTGGCTCACTTGAAAAACAAGCATTTTGCAACAGAAAAATAACTATTTACTGTAAAAAAAAAGATTCTTTAGAGGAAGCTCACCTGGGTAAGAAAAGTGACAAAATTATGCATTTTATTAAATCTGAATATATTTTAAACAAATCTTGGAACTAGGTTACGCAACATTCCAGGATGATTTATTTTGATTTTCCACTGCTTGATTCTCCTTTTTTTCAGAAAGGCCAGGGGCAAACCAAAGCAATTTACATTGAATGCCACACACTGCCCCACTGTCCATCTACCACATCTTGCCCTGACTGCCCAGAGATAACTGGTGGCACCAAGAAAAGGCAGCTGCAGCCTGGGACTGGCTGCCTGCACGTTCTGCTGTGGGCTTTGGCGCCAGCTGAGGGTGTCTGAAAAATAACTGATTTCAATTTCATTTTATTTGTACTGCATCTTTCCTCAAGTCTCTGTGCTGTGACAAGGTAGGGAAGGCATGCAGCCATCAAGCCTTCTCAGGGACATTCAGGACACAGGGAAAGGCACACACATCTGTAAAAACTTTATTTCAAAATCTTTTTATTCAACTGTTATTCAGCAATATACAATACAGTTTATAAACAAATGTCTTACCTTGTTTCCAATCTTCATTTAAAAATAAATATTATTGACAGTGAATATTAATTATGGTAAGATGTACCTTTTTAATGTCTCCAAAAGAAATAATTTAATTAAAAAAAGAAAAAGGAAATCCAAAAAACCTAAACACAATAATCTACTAAAAATATTTCCTTTCTTAGGAAGGGTTTGACCCAACATCTTTACATATTGTCATAAAGATAACTGCTCAACAGTTCGTGCAAAATGAAGAGTCAGAGGAAAGGTTTAGAAAAGAAAAAATATTACATTAAAATAGAGAAATAATAAGTGCCATGCACAGAGCAGGGCTTTACACCATAGAGTCTGGAAACTAGATGCATTATTCTATGTGGTTTACTTTCTTGTGGCATCCCCAAAAATATGTTTTTCCCCCCATGTAGAATTTATCATGCTTCTTTCAGTCTCTTTCTGTCCATCTTTAAAACGGTAGGGATTTCTTTGTCAGGGGTTTTGTTTGTTATTAAATAGGTTCCTTTCTGTTTGGCTGAGGAGGAGTGGAGTGAGCAGTCCGTCAGTGGTTTACTAATAAATGTACAAGCTTATGCAGTAGTAACAGGGACATGTATAGGAGTGGGTCTGTAGCATAAATAGGTCCTGTACCTAGAAGAGAAAGAGACAAGGGAGAGAAGCAGATTTGATTTTTTATCTTTTCCAATATAGAAGATTAAATGCAAAAGAGAAATATAGGAAGATTCATTTTTATCACTTCAGTGCCAGGGGTCAGAAGCTTAATTTTAATAGTAAAACAGCATCCTCAAGCTATTCAACTCAAATAGCTTTTTCCTCCCCCTCCCAAATCTGACTCCACTTAGGTCATTTCATTATGTGTTACTAATGGTATGCCTAAACTTGGCTTCAGCCAAGTTACCAGCAATTGAGATTTCTATAAATACACCATAATCTGGTATATAGTTTCTTGAGAAATGACAGGTATCAACCACCCATTACTTTAAAGGGAAATGACAAATGCTGCGTCTGTACTTCTTGATTAACAGGACATGAACCCATTCCATTTGGAATGGGAACAGCAAGACCTTGACATCTTCTTTACCTTTTATAGGAAAGAGCAGAATTTTAAATTAAAAATGTGCTCAGGAGCTATAGAAAAACAGAGGTCAGGTGTGGAACACATCTGTTCCTGTCAGCCTGTCCCAAGGAGAGCGATGAGCTAACTCAGGGGGCAGGACACGCCCAGGCAGCTGCTCACAGCAAGCAGGGGCAGCCACTCCTGCTGCAGCTGCCAGGGCTTCCTGCCTCACACCCATGCACACCGTGATACTCACTCAGTTTTTCTATTTTCTAGCAATGTGTGCTGAAAAAATACAAAAAGGTGTTTGCTTTGTGCACTGCGGTGGGGCCCCTCTCTCTGGCACGGAGGGCTGAGCTGTGGGGCCAAGGTCTCTTGGCCAAGAGAGCAGACACACAGGCATGAGGCTCTGCTGTGCACCTCTGAAATGGCCATTGCTGTGCTGATGGCAAAGCAAGGGCAAGGGCAGAGGCAGAGGCAAACCATTCCCTGGAGCAGCCCCATTCCCTAGAACAGCCCCTTTCCCTGGAGCAGCCCCTTTCCCTGGAGCAGCCCCATTCCCTAGAACAGCCCCATTCCCTGGAGCAGCCCCGTTCCCTGGAGCAGCCCCATTCCCTGGAGCAGCCCCTGCCAGTGCTGCAGGCTAGGACACAGGTACCTGGTACTCCCTGTGCCTGGCTCAGCCCACACAGACAAGGCCAGGCTGGGCCACAGCAGCTGCCTGGCCCAAAAGTCCCTGGGGACACCTTCCTGAGCCATGGGAGGATCAGCATGTGCAGCTGTCACCAGCATGGGATGGATGTGATGGATGTGGGACAAAAGCAGGAGTCCAATGGGAATCTGCCCTGCAGAGGGGCACCTGTGGAGAGGCCTCCTCTCTGCTGAACACCCAACCTACAGGAGTGACCAGTGCCCAAAACACTGAGTGCCACCCAGACTGAGAGAGACACTTTGCAAAGCATGAAAAATTTAAAAATAAGTTTTCTGTATCTCTGAAAAAGTAATCAGGGCACTTCTGTTTAGGAAACTCACTTCAGGCATGGTAATGTGAATACTTTAGTCTTGGTCTCTAGGACATGTGAGTGTCTCCCAGCTGTGGCATGATCAAAGGAAATGCCTCAAAGAGTGCCTGAGCAAAGCACTGCTCTTGGGCTCGCTGCTCCAGCTGCCTCGTAATCTATACCCACCTCACCAGCAATGCTGGAGCACGATTACCCAGCATCAAAAACTGCACAGCAATGTGGTGTGCAATTGAGGAACTCAAAAAATGTCCCCACAGTGCTATCTCACAGACGCCCAGACTGTGTGGTGATTATTTCGTTATTAAGGTTTTAATTAAATCCCTGCATGCACAAACACGTGCTAAGGACTGCCTGCACAGTAACAGCAAGGTATTAAGATGAATACAGGATTTTTGTTTTGAAAGCTGAAAAATCATTAACAAACACAATTAACGCCAGCAGCTAAAGGAGTTAGTTGCAACTCATTGCAAAAAGACACTAGAAGTGTGTGCAGGGAAGTTCTCCCTTCTGGGACATGGCACAGCTGCAAGAAGGGCAGTCCAGGACAATCCCCATGTGCTGTCACTGTCCCCTGAGCCTGGGGATGGCAGGGGCAGCCCAGCAGCAGCCAACACTCCTGGCAGCTGCACACAGCTCAGTGGTGCCAAATTCATGCCAATTCAACACCTGCCCAGCACTGCAGGGAAGAGCTGGCCTTGGATATTTATGATGATCAAACCTGAGGGTGCTGAGAACCCATTCTTTCCCTGCTTTCAATGAACAGGGCTTGAGTCTGAGATGCTGCCAGTTGCTCAGACAGCAAGATGTGCTTTTGTGGAAACACTGAGAAACTCAACCTGGAGAAATGGGCTCTTGAAGCTCAAGTGTCCTTACTGCTATGGTGCTGAAGGGCTGCCAGGAACACCAGCTTAGGATCGTTGCTGCTTTGAAGGGAAAGCATTCACAACCTGTGTGCCTGCCTACCAAAATCATTTCTATGTTGGTTTTACCTTTATGTACTGGTTTTAGTTTAAATTTCAATGCAGAACTGTGAATTCAACAGTCTTTTCCTTCTGTAGAAACTACTGTTGTTTTAATCTATATTGTCCATCTTCTCTGACAGCAGAATGTGAGTTCAGACTCCGTTAACAAAATCTCAGCAGTTAAATGAAAACATATTTTAAAAAAAACTATTTGAAAGTGATTATTCTTACTGAACACTACATACAAGCTTCTTTTTTTCATACTGATTCAGTGCTGTTCTGCTCCAAGACTTTACACAGTGTTGGACACACAGAACGTCAGAATTCTCTTCCCTCTAAATATAAGCAGACAAGAAAAATAATTTCAACAACAAACTGAAGTTAGTGTCCTCAATTCTGCTGTTACTGCAGTAGTGGAAGTCTTGACTTTTAGTTAATAAATTGCTACATCTGTAGATCTAAACAAACAAAACGCGGGCTTGAGCATGAGGGTCTGGACACATGATTGACCCAGGTGTGAGAAGAGAGGGTTCTTATCCAGACACCCTAAATCAGGAGTTCACAGTTACTTGCAAACTACAGGCACTTGCAAGAAAACATTTCACTGATATTTTGAATATTCATTTGATGCACTGTTATTGCAAGCTTATTTATCACTATACAGACTTACAATTTTGCTTTTAAAATATTTATATGCTCATGGCCAAAAGGGAAAGTCTACCACCATGCAGAACAAGAACAAATTGTTCTCTTCATGTATGGTGAATTGCTCTCTGGCATCACTCCTCCTTCTTTGCAATTTATGACATAATAGTGTGTTACTGCAATTTTCTATGTAATATTTTTTTATGCCAGAATTAATCACAGTTTGACTTAAAAGAGTTCAATTGAAAATAAACATTAATTAACCAAGTGACTTGTGACACCCAGAAAAAATGGGAAGATTCTTTTACAAGCTATATTTAACCAATGGTCAAAACCCACAGTTTCCAGCAGTCACCTATTTTTCTTACTAGAAAGAATCTGAAAAATCCTTTGATGTCTCTTTCTGAGATGGTGGTAAAATGCAGTGGCCCATATAATAAAAAGCTGAAAGACATCAGTAGCCTATTTTCCTTGAAAGATGAGATAACACCTAAAATCTGACTGCCTATTGATGATGGAGCTGGGGCCCTGGTTGGCAGTGTCACAAGACACTTCTCTGCACTGCCTTTTATGCAGTGACCTGTTAGCCTTGGCCTATTTCCTTACTGAACAATGCCCAATTAAAGCCCTCAAAACTGGCATTTCATTAAGAGGTGACCATATAGATGGATCTGTTCTCTCAGTCCAGAAACTTTAGATTGTGCTTGATACATGTTCTTGTTCTGATATCTATGGAAAAAAAAAATGGAGCTTTACATGTGTTGCTAGTCAAGGATCATTACAAACAATACCCTCCTAGATAAAACAGATTCTCACTCACTGACACACATTTGGAGCACTTGCACTGAATTGAAGGGAATTTACCCAACTTCAGACCCAAGAGCTTCTTAGAAGTTTTTAATGGAAATTACTGAAGTCACTATACACTTACTGAACCAAAGAGATAATAAGCTACACCCCATTAGAACTATTCCACAGTTTGAGACAAGATCTTATAAAGTGTCTACACCCTTCCACTCTTAAGTACTTCCAGCACAATCCACACACACATTTTTGCTTTTTTTAAATCTTTTGTTTTGTACCTAATGCCTTAAAATTCCCACTGCTCCCCAGGAGCTATTTCTCCAGGATTCTGTGCAGAAGTGCATGCAGAGCCTGTGCTGATTTTAGCAGACCCTCCCAGCTCAAACCTGCCTGGAACAGGAGGTGGTGTTGTTCAAATAAATACTGGTACAACAGAAAAAAACCACTGAACTGTGATGTCCCCGTTGCTCCTGGCTTTCAGCTGGCTGTGGATCATCCTGCCCAGGCACAACCAGAAACAGCTCCTCAGCTGCCTTTTGGTGGAGCTAATTTCAGCAGCGGTGACTTCCCACATATTTATGAGCAACTGCATGGGCTCTGCTGGCCACTGAACCTGCCTAGAAGGCATGATGACAAAATTAGTTTTCTATCCACTACAGTTTTTATTTATGATTTGCTGAGTTTTGGAACAGCTTTCCGTAACTCATCTCAAGAAAATGCCTCACAGAAGTCAGCATATGTTTTTATTTCTACACAACCAAGCAGGTAGAAGCTTGTGATTCTGCTGTGCTCCTTCATCCATGACATCAAGGTTTTTAAGGTCAGGAGTAAATCTTCTGACACAGCCAGGTGAAACTAGCAGCATTGCCCTCCAGACCCTGCATGATAATGCCTACATTTCACTTCCTTATCCACACCAGAGCCTCAAACTCTCCAGGAAGCTGAAAGCAATTTTACTGGCCAGAAGACACTGACCAAGGTTTTGTAAAACTCTGTCATAATTTTAGGTCTTCTCAAATACACCTGAGTTTCACTGTTTCTACACATTCTCTCTCAAAATATCCACTGCAATACTGAGGTCTATGTTTTGAGGTGAACTGCCAAAATCCCACATTACAAGAGTTACTGAAAGCCTCCTGT